CATTTTCCATGTTTGGAAGACTGACTTTCCAAGTGCAAGTCCAGTCAGAATGAAAATATCATTAGACATAAAACAAAAGAACGACTTTTGTACTAGCAATGAGCTGATTTAGAATTACTCTACGTTTGGAGCACGACCGTCCACTGCCAAAAAGAAAAAGTTAGAAAGAAGGGTTGAAATCATCATTATCTTCATCATGAGGTCGTCAGTCCCAAGATTGGTTGGACACGCACTTCCACTCCTTCCTATCATTGTTTCATCTCCCCTTTTACAAATCCTACATATCATTTCATCTTATTACATTTTCTACATTCATTTCCCGCTCTAAACCTTGCAAATACGTCCACCTCCTTCATTCTATCTAGATAATCTGGCAAACGGTGTCCCTGCCAATGCTCCTACAGCAACGCCTTTAGGCATTCCACATATCTCGACTTATCAATACTTCTTAGATCTTCTCCCCTTATCATCTCTTTACATCTTATTCTCACCATTTCCTCAACACATACCCCCATTCGGCCCCCTTCATTCAATTGTTCCTGATTCTTTAATTGTCGAATGAACCATCCCTTTGTTTAGCATACCTGCTTGTTGTTCCAATATTTAGAATCCTTTTTTTTTTTCATAATACCTTTCTTATATTCCCATCCATAAGCTTTTCAAATTTTATCTCATATTTTACCAACCTTTTTCTGGTTTCCTCTACTATCTTCCCTATAATTCCCTCCGTACAACATAATCTGGTGTATGTCCTAGATCCTATTCTTCTTTCTATATAATTTTAGTTTCAGTAGTTAAGAAAATAGAGGTTGGAGCATGTTTTTGAAGGACATTTTCAGTATTATCTTTGGAAAAATGACACCAACTGTTTAGAAGCATGTTGATTAAGTTTCTGCTTACAAGATCTTTTTAAATGATTCTAAATATATTTAACAAAAAAAACTATTTTAGTTTACTTAGTTTTCCCGACAATTTAGTAAAGGTTTCCAGATTAGTAGGTTAACTAATGCTATCCCGATTCAGGTTTATAGGACGTCGTCGGTGAGATTTGCTTCCTATCGTTTCACTAGCACTAATGGTGAGCTTCTCCAGAGGTCCTTCCATCTTCGATGCTGGATGTGGAAACGTTAAATTCCAACCGACCACCGCATTTAAACCCGAATCAGGACATGAGTTAATTTGTCCCATCTAAATTTTTCTCATCATCATCATCATCATAAGGTCGTCAGTCCTAAGACTGGTTGGACATGTACTTCCACTCTTTCCTATCCTGAGCTAAACTTCGCATTTCCCTAAAACTAGAACAGCCCACATCCTTAACTATTTGCGAACAGTAATCTAATCTAGGTCTACCTCTACCCCTCCTAACTCCTGTTTCTGCCTCTAATATGTCTCTGACTAGACCTTCATGCCTGAGAAGGTGTCCTACCAACCTATCTCGCCTATTTTTTATTGACTTCCATAGAGTCCTCTGTTCTCCTATTCTTTCCAATACCTCTTCATTTCTAACCTTTTCTACCCACGATATCCTCATCATCCGCCTATAACACCACATTTCGAACGCTTCTAACCTTTTCTTTTCCGCCGCTCCCACTGTCCATGTTTCGCACCCGTACAACGCCGTGCTCCAAACATACACCTTTAACAACCTTTTTCGAATTTCTAAATTAACCGTTCGCGAGCATAGAAGTGACTTCTTTTTATTAAAGGCGACACGACCCTGCGCTATCCTCGGCTTTATATCCCTACTACTCCTTCCATCCTGACTTATCTAACTTCCTAGATATCTAAAATCAGTCACTTCTTCTAATTTTTCGTCTTCTATCTTTATATTCGCTTTTTCCCTACTTTTTCTTCCCTTGCATACCAGTATACTAGATTTACTTTTATTTATTTTCATACAGTACCGATCTGTCAGTACCGCTTCCATTTAATTTAAAGCTATCTCTAAGTCCTCCTTGCTAGATGCTAATACTATATATATTTTTTAGGATATCAAGTCCCCATCAATTTTCAGACTGTAATCTAATCGAAATCTTCCTCTACCTTTAGATTTGTTTGTTTTTCTGCTTCTAATATATCTCCAACTAGCCCTTCACGTCTTAGAAGGTGTCCATTCAATAATATATCTCCATAAAGTCAAAATGCATTACATACTATTACAGCATGCAAGTACCTACATTTAGTATACAGTTAACTCTATATATAAGGAAGTAAATCTGTTTCAATCATATACAGACATGCAATTAACTTTCCTTAAGAAAGTCTTCCGTTTACTCAACTTAATGTGGTGAGTACAGATTTTGCAGCATTATACCTAACATCTCTTGATTAAAACGGAACAATCAGATATAAAGATTTCGATAAAATATATATAACAATCACCATAATGTGTCAGATAATTACCTCCTTATTGCATGAAGATATTACAAAAGCATTTGCCACAACAGTTATATCTGTAAGATAACCAATAGCACGAAGCCACAATATTTTACGGCGATAGGGAGAAGAATATTCATGCACTCAATTTCACGCTGTTCTGCCGTAGCTACCATTAATATCTGATTAATTAACCATTCGAGTTTCATTTTTAAAACTTGTACTTGCGATTGTGGTTCTAATTAATGTTTGATAAAAGGTGATGTAGTCATCTCAAATTTAAAAAATCAAATAAAGCAGTAAAGAAAAACAAAGATGTCAAAACAGTGCAAAAGATATAACATACGTAAAATAAAATTAGGAGTAGATAAATGTGTGAATACAGTAGGATATTTGGTCAGAAAAGAACCAAAGGAAGTAAAGGATTGTAAGAATAATTAGAGAAGGATAAACAGAAAATCATTGATAAAGAATGGTAGGAGGCAGAGGGTTTAAAAAGTTTAGTGATTTTTCTTGTTTTGAATTTTGAATTAGTCGACTCGGTTACATCTTTTATAAAAGCTTCAATTCAGTAGTACATGCGCCGTAGAGTAAAAACATGCTTATCGGTTCTAGATATCATGAGTTTAATATTTTGAACAGAGGTTCGAAATTTTGTAGTAAGATAGATAACGCTTTATTCTAATCCTTGTCGAAAACCATTTTTAAATTTTTTAATTTCTATTGAAAATAAGTGTCCTACAAGAAGCATCAACTTTAAGCACTTGAAAAAGCTTTTAATGACTATATTATTGAAAACCAAAAACGTATCGAGTTAGTGTGAACCTTTGTCTGTTACCATACAAAAAATGAGATATTTATCTCGTAGCGTTAAATCGCAATATTTAGAATAGAAACCCATGTTTTCGGAACAATTCACACACACAAGTACGAGCGGTCTATTGTGGCCAATCCCCTTAATAAATGACACCGAATCCTTTTCTGTTTACCAATTTTACTGTATTCAAATAGGCAACATAAAGATCAGAAATGTGATGACCCAATGTTACATAATTCTTATAGATTTGTTGTCTCGAAATCTCATAGAATAATTATTACCTATTTGTTCAGTGTTAGGAATCAGTTGTAAATTAAACATGATATTTAACCGTCTTTTACATTGTATTCTAACATTTTAAAAACACTCCTGTAATGTATACCTACTTGAAATATCTCAAGAAAATCGCCTTCACCTTTAACAGGAAATTCTTTTGTTTACATAGGTACATTTCACAATATGTCAATAGAAACTTATAATTTCACTCATTTTTATGAATTCATATACATAAATCTAAATACGCAACATGGCTTCGGGTGGATTAGGATAAATAACAAAACCCAAAACTGCTGTTTAGGTACTAAATTAGGTAGCTACTTGAACTAGCGGGTATTGAAATTACTTTCTATACAAGAAGGTTACATAATTTTTAACAAATAAATTAATTGCGTTATTTTAATATGTAAATTACAAAAGCTTCTGTCGGCACCTCGGCTGAATAACTAGATTAGTATTTATTATTATAGAATGCATAATAATAGGTGCCTATTACTGTCTAGGTACATATATACAACACAATATCCAATTATTAGTTTTTATGTTTGTAGCTAGCTGGCCATGGTAAGTACTGTATTTCCTTTAAACGTCTAACAACAAATAACTACAAATAATAATAATGATACAAACAAAAGAAAATATTGTTAACACTTAATTGTTACATGTACACAGTTTTTCTTTGCACTTCCTTATTTCTTGTCTGGAATGTAGCTCCATCCGTTTATAAATCCAATTATACAAAGCAATAGTAACAAAAGATAGTAATTAGTAATAATCGGTCACAATTGCATTAAAAGATATTACAAAACCAGATACTTATGCAGAGTATACATTTGTCTACTTTTGAAAAAACCCTGACTGAGTCCCTATTTGTTCGTTTGTTTAATGAGTACTCAACATTAACATTTGAGCATTCTTTAACCTTTTAAGTGAAATCAAGTGATTCCACATTTACAGTTGGCAGCAATGGCAGATTTAAATTCTACTGTTCCCTATTCTGATACGGTAGTAATTATAATAAATTAATTGATTAATAAATAATTATTCCAAAATAGTCAAAAATAATCTGGCGAATAAGATGCGCGATAAAAGTAATTATACACACACACACACTAGGCAGTGACAAAACAAAACTGCGGGAAGGTTCCGGAAACTTCGAGAACATATCCTATAACTGTAAAAGTCAGATGTTTTAAATATGCGAAAACGAGAAGCCCTATACGGTGAAGTATATTGCGCCTTTAAAATTTTGATCTTTCTAAATCTTTTGCATCCTAGGTCAGGACCTAGGACTGATTGACAGTATATATTAACAGATGGCGATATAGCCATTAGTTTGGTATATACTATAAATATACACAAATTGGTTCTCAAAACTGTATATAGGTTTTTCTTGATCGGTACCTTAGCAACAGTTATTTTTATGTGTGTAGCATATAGTCCTTTATGCAATGTGGCACTCTATAAATATGTTGTAAGATGTTAAATTAGAAAGAATATATATATCAAAATTTCCATTTACTTGCAGATGCACGGGGCAATGCCACTGCCAGTTTTTACATTTCCCCCATCGATGTTGCAGCCACCACCACAGATGGTAGGTTACCCTTTAATCCCAGCCCCATTGGGACCTATACCATCTCCAATTATTACACCAGATCCAAAGGAAATGGTAATTACTGAAAACTCTAGTTGTCCAATTTTGAATATAAATATATATCAAAATGAAGCAACTGTTTCTCTATATTTCCGACAAATTTGTTTATCTAATGGGTGACACCCTTTTAAATCTTTCAGATGGTGATCCGTCATCCTAAAAAGCCCCGTCATCATCCGTCTTCATTTCATCCTCATAAGCCAAGACAACAGATTCCCCAAAAGCCTAGGAAAGTTTCAAAACCAGAACAAAAGCAAATAACTGAAGAAGAATTGGCCCGAACATACACAGGGTTAGATCGAACAATAGCAGAAGAATTTATTCAAATAAGCGAGTCACAAAACACAAGCCTTTGCAGCAGTTCCATCTGCAACTCTGCTTGTAATGCAGGTTGTGGTAATGAATGCACTTGTGTGACATCATCTAGTTCATCCTCAAGCCGTTTTGTCAGCGAATTGTAATTGTTGTACTTATATATAATGAATTTTTACGTAGGTTTTAAAATGTATCCTGTTCGGCCCTTCGGTTAGTTACGCCTATGATTTTCTTTTTTATAATAATTTTTATTAAAATTTTATTGTGTACAATGGCTATTCCGTAAATTAACGAAATTACGGTTACCCATAATTATACACCNAAATATTAACAACAGTCTGTTAATTTCTAGTCAATTTATGAACGCGATTGGTTCATAAAACAATAACTAAAACAAAATAATGTACTAAAGTATCGTATCTATAATAATATTAAATTTAAGTAGATACTTTATTCTTTTCATATTTTGTATTTTGTTTTTATAAAAAAAATGTATTTTATCATTTATTGTAGCGTAAGTAAATAAACTAATATTCTGCAACGTCGAATTTCTTATACAAAACAATGTTTCGCGTATTCCCTATACTACAGCTACCTTCTATAAACCTCCAATGAGCTAGACCTAACAAGTGCATAACAAAAAGATTTTATTAGTAAATAATGAGCAGCGTCTTATTTATTTTTCTTAGTAGCGAGGTCCGGACTATACGGTGGATGGTGGAAAACGTCTGACTCAATGAGAATACCTGTCGCCTTTCGTGCATAGTTATAGACGAATATTAGAACCATCCACCGTATAGTCAAGACCTCTCACCGATCGATTTCGCCTCTATCGACAATTGAAATTGAAATTAAAATTGGTTGGGAGGACGACGGGGGCGCTTTGCCACCACCAAATAATAAAATATGTAAAAAGCACATACGCATATTGCAAAATGAACCATCATATTTTTTTACTAATGTATACAATGCTCGGGAACGGTTAATTAGAAATTCGAAAAATATTGTTAAAGGTTTATGTTTGGAGTGCAGCGTTGTACGGGTGCGAAACATGAACGGTGAGCGCAGCGGAAAAGAAAAGGTTAGAAGCCTTCGAAATATGGTTTTATAGGCGAATGATGGGGATACGGTAGATAGAGAAGGCTAGAAATGAAGAGGTATTAGAAAAAAAAAGAGAACAGAGGACTCTATGGAAGTCAATAAGAAATAGACGAGATAGGTTGGTAGGACACCTTCTCAGACATGAAGGTCTAGTGAGAAACCTATTAGAGGCAGAAATGGGAGTTAGGAGGAGTCAGGTAGACCTAGATTAGATTACTGTTCACAAACAGTTAAGAATGTGGGATGTTCTAGTTTTATGGAAATGCGAAAATTAGCTCAGGATAGAAAAGAGTGAACCCTTATGATGATGACAGACAATGTGATCCCCAACATTTCTTACGGATTAAAGAGGACTGAGGAAAAACAATTTAGCTATATTTAGACCCAGTGAAAACCAAATTTATTTATTTCAACAAAAACAATTAGCCTGTCCCTCTAATATTTAAAACCACCTCCATCCTGCCAAAGCCAATATCCAATTTTTGTGTTGCTTGTGGTAATAAATAAATAAAGAATTGAACCATAATTTTTGTTAACGAAAAACAAACAAAAAACACTGGCCAATTTTTGTATGAAACGTTAAAGATAATACGTACATAATTTCCATTCAAAAATGTATGATAAATGGAAAATAAATAATGCAATTAATTATATTTTGACGTTACTAATGAATCAAAATAGATCAATAATAATCGATATTATTTTCATTACCACGATGCTGAACAAGGTTCATAATGTTACATAAGAACCTAGGTACCTAAAAATAATAATCAGATAACGGTTGAGGTCTTGGTGAAGATCTATTTACCACTAAACGGTTTATTTGGTCAGTGACGTAGTAATTAATGAGTGAAAGAGTGCGAAACGTTGAGGCCCAAGGCCGAAGGAGGACTCGCAGGACCCCTTAATCCTTCTGAAATCTGAAAAAAATCCTCAATAATGCGTTGTCGGCCGCGTACACTNGGTATTAAAAAAAAAAACATAAAATAAAATTATCTACGTATTAGATAGAACAGCTTATATAAAATGAATAAACAATTACGCAAGCTTGTCCAAAAGGTACCTAAAAATAATAATCAGATAACGGTTGAGGTCTTGGTGAAGATCTATTTACCACTAAACGGTCTATTTGATCAGTGACGTAGTAATTAATGAGTGAAAGAGTGCGAAACGTTGAGGCCCAAGGCCGAAGGAGGACTCGCAAGACCCATTAATCCTTCTGAAATCTGGAAAAAATCCTCAATAATGCGTTGTCGGCCGCGTACACTGCAAAAGGGGTAAGAGTCAAAAGAAGTAGACCCCCAACTGCACAAAAGCAAGATATACTTAAATAAGGTGGATGAGGTAGAGCTATCGGGCTTCCCATATAATTAAGTTCAGGAGGAAAAGCAAAAATGCAAAAAAAAAACAATTGAAAATCCTATTCAATCTGTTTATTGTTACTATTAGGTATTCTTGTAGATATGTACTGTACGTGCTGATATATAATAACAAATTTAATATAAAACATCAGTAAATACCTACTTATACACATATAAATTAATATAAATACAAAACGGTTCTATTTTGTTTAAAACAAATCACACAGCATAATGAGTTCGACGAAATCCCTGACCTAATGGAAGAAAAAAATTAATTTTTGTACGAATCTTAACTAAATAAACACTAAACCCAAAACTCCCCCGTCTAGATGTCTATATAAAAGTTATTAATGGAATTTTTGGTTCTATTAGTGTTTATTTAATTACTGGAATCAGACAAGTATAATCAGTGCACAACAACTGGGACCGGTTGTAGTTTAGTTCACTGAAACAAATTAAGGATTGTGCATAAACCATATGGCTCCGTAAGGTTAGGAGGGGGGTGGTTCTGATAAGAAACTATGTGGAACCATATACGGTTGGGTATTAGATCCCTAAATATGACCGAGAGGCATGGCCTAGAGGTTTAGACCATTGCTTAGCATTCGGGAGGATGCCGGTTCGATTCCGGGTCCGTCTGCCTTGGTCCAAATTTTTCTGTGGTTTCCTTGGATCACTTGGGCTCTGAGGCAGTAATATTCCACAGATAATCTTTCATTCTCTTCCGTCTCATCTTTCTCACCCGAACCATCACCCACCCATTCCCACGATTCCTGAAAGGAGCCTAAAGAGGGTCTTCCGCCTTACCTTCCGGCATAGTCCGGAGGGACTGCCCGACCACCAGCATTACTGGCTGGTGGGATTGAAACACCCAAAAGTTTTTTTCCCTGAATATGACTAACACGATCATTTATTGTTTTATTGGTAGATAGAAGATGTGGAAATGAATTATTGTCCGATGCCTACATACAATAATCGAAATGAATTCAGTTTACAGACGCCTAGATGTTTTGGGAGGGGGGGGGACTTCAAGGATAAAACTAAAGTAGACCATGTAGGGGGAGGGACATCAAAAACTGATTAAAATAGAGTCACATATGCTCTATGCACATCCCAATAAAAGTAATCCCTTTGTTAATTCATCGTTAGCCCAATTAACGAGCACTAATCGCAATTATTATAATAACTTTACTTACCAATACTTTGTAAAAGCGTAAAAACAAGATCGATGTCTTTGGAATAAAAAATGTGACACGTAAAATCGGTTGCCACGTCGCAGTAACCATCGCTAAAAATAGAATTCACTTTGGTCTCTTTATAGTTCAATTAAATTTATTTATTACGCAAGATTATCAGCGTATCGTGTACAAAAGTTCAAACTGGAGAAGAGTTATCTTGTTAACTGAACTGTATGAATGTTATAACAACAATTAAAATTTCAAAAATTTATTTCTATGTGGAATATTTGTTTTATTGCAACAATTCGAAAAGGAAAATTGGAATTAAAACTGGAACTTAACGGTAATAATATGGCACATGCTTCATGATGTTTATAATAATTTAATAAGGAAAAGAATCGCGAAAGGCAGTTGTTCATAAGTACCTCGTATGGGCATGGTAATCGCTATAACACATGCCATTAGATGCTTTGGAAAATTCTAAGAATTTTTTTTCTTTAAAATTTTTTAATACGACTTCAACTTATCGAGTAGTCGAAAATTGGAATAATCCACCAATCAGAGCGCGTTACTGTTGCTGCAAGCTGCACTGTGACGTAGCCAGCAGCCTGCAGCTTTTACGCTAGCTGCATCTGTCTCACGATCAATTACGTTTGCAGCAAAACAGCCGCGCTATGATTGGTTGATTGTCTTGACCTTTAATTGATAATTACTGAAAAACTACGCGTCCTATCGAAAAACTGTAAAGGAAAAATTGTCCTTAATTTTCTCAAAGAATAAAATGGTATGCATCTGTACTCAATTAAAACAGGCCTGAGAAAAATGCAAAAATAATTACCTAAGAACAAAATAGAACGAGACAAGAAGGAAAAGCAAACGTGCGAAAGTAATTACGATCTTTTGTATTATTATGATTTTCGTGGAAAATTATTTACAACAAATTGTAATATTTTGACCTCATCTCAACTGCGTTCAACGGTCAAACTTTCATAACATTGTTTATTTATATTATTATAACGCCCAAAATAATAAATTTATTTATCTCATTTACTTTAAATAAATCAAGAATTATCAATGTAAATTAAATTATTCCAAGTTTAAAATTATTCAAACGAAGAATAACCAAAAGTTTTAATGTAATAATAATAGTCATCAGACAAAAGTTAAAAAATTAGATTACAAACCCCACGATGTACGCGAAATAATTGGGCATTAATGTTACAGAACCACATGCAGATATTTCCATAAATGAGTGTTGTAATATCACCTACAAAGTTGATATCATAAACAATTACATGCATCTTTTATTACAAAATACCTGAGAAGTTTCGCAATCGTACACTTTTACTCCCAACTCTCCAATTTCTATGTTAACAAATTTTTTGACAATTTTTCTTTCCTTGTCAGTTTCGCTTTGACGAAATGGCGATAATAAATTTTTGTATGCGATATCAATTTGTCTTGTATTACCAAGCATTCCAATATATGATGACCCAACATATTTCGCACTGAATCCAGTGCTACTACAATAAAGTCATACTTTGCTTTAATTGTCAGAGAATCCAGTGGAGTCAGTACGTTTCGCAGGAAATGATCAATAAATAATTTTCTGTACAAAAAGAGAAAAGAGAGCAAAGCCCATAATTTGTGGATTACCTATTTTTATTCTTTCTCCCGCTGCCCTTATCTTGGCTACTATTGAAACTGATACCAGGGTCAAGTTTTAACTGTTTCATCAAAGCAACGATAGGTGAAAACAAATCATTTGTTTTACTATTTCGTACTTTGACTATTTTTACTAGAACCGGTTGTCCTCGGCTATTCCTTACAATCGAATTTAATTTCCCTTTTACTGATGAACAAATGTGAACTCCATTCAAAGAATCCAGTACATCTCCCACACAAACATTAGCCTAAACAACCCGTTAATTAAACAAAGAATATGTTATCAAAAAAGGTACCTATACCACTCACATTTTCAGCCAATACACTGCTTGACTGAATATGAACAATGAGTGCCTTCTCTTGCACAAAACTGAAAGAAATGCTCAATAAGAATTCCCAATAAAATAGTGCAATCAAGCACTAATATAGTAGTAATGATTAATATTATTAGAATAAAAGAGACTACCGAGATTGGCCTGCAATTAGAGGTGTTCATGTGCTCATGTCTCCTCAATGATATGAGCCAATGTCACCCTGAACCATTACCTCTCAGTAATAGTGAGTCCGAAGATAATAATTATAATGATAATGAACAGCAAGAAAGACGATCTAACAGTCCTACAAATACTACAAGTGGATGGGATGCTATTGTAATGTAGGGACTGCATGTGTGAAGAAAAAAATCTATCTTTCATATATCCTAATCATACCAGAACCAAAGGTCTCTCTGCAGACTGTTTTATGATCCTGTAATGCTTACACGATGACTTCTCCAGTAATTTTAACTTTGTAGCCTATCTTCAACGTGTTTCAATTAAAATAAATCACCAATACATAGACATTAAACATTCAAAAGTCTACTCTATTTTAACTAAGTTTTCATCATTCCATAAAACACAAATCAGAAGCATTATGATCAGTTTAAAGTGGAGTATAATCCACCTACAGGCTACTCTATTTAGAGATCTCAGTAGTCTCCTTTATATGTTTTGAAAGTACCTGACACTAATACCTAAACTTTTACATGGAACCAATTCAAGTTTAAGGACTTCTGGTAAGTCCCAGGTATAATCCAGAAATGAAGTGTTACTTGCATCCAATTTAAATTTAATTTTACTAACTTGAAGTAAAACTGAGAGAAATATTTCACTTAATATTTCGTCACCAAGAATTGAATTCTGTTTATAAATAATTGCTTTACTTTTTGAGTCTCTTACCTACAAGTTAGTCTCATATTATTTCCATTTTATAAAACACTAAAGATGATCAGTTGCCTGACATTGTTATTAGATGAAATTTTTATTATTAAAGGACATAGAAATAATTATTGGAACAAATAAAACAATGAGGTACACACATTATGTGTGTAAATGGTAATTAATTAATGTAAAGTAATAATTCATTTCCATCTCATAGTCAATGAATCAATTACATTACATTTGCAATAGTTTTCATTATTTTATTTTTAGTTAGACTTAGTTTTCCTTAAGAATTGTATATTTAGATGGTTAGATACTTTTTAGACTAAGTAGCTACTCACAAAATGTTTTACTGGTACATAAAGACAACCATCGTTTAAACAATATCTGATAAGAGCTCTTAATCTGCCTTTGTTTGTACTAAGACATTCTTCTTGCTTAACAAATTTAACTGCACTTGAGTATTTAAAAGATGCAATATCATTATCGTTATTAACTGAACTTTCAAGCCATGACCAGGCTTCTGTTTGTCTTGTAAAGACAAAATTTCCTTGAGCATTGAGACCATACGAAAAAACTTTTTCAATTAAAATGCAGAACTCAATAAGACCGACATTTGAGTCCAGAATAAAGCAATTACCGTTGATATTCTCAATGAGGCCTAATACTGAGCCTGAAAAGACAGCTTCAGAATTCTTAAGTTCGAAGGTAGCAACTTAAAGACATAGACTACAAATTAAAATTCAAAGCAGAACAGAGCACATTAAATAATCTACAAGCTATGTAGATGTAAATATTGGAATAAAATAGCAAACTGAGTACAAAGCAGCAAACCAAAATTCGAAATTATAACCTCAAAAGTAATATTGGAAAAATTTAAGAAACAACTACGGATAAATTGGAAAATGAATACCTTTTAAATCTTTTAACAATGGGTCATTGACTGACATTATTATCGTGTTTAAAAAGATACTTTCCGCATAAACGAAATGCCCCCGAAGCCTTATCAAGTCTTATCACTCTAACTCATTGCGCTTGCTATTCAGAATTATAGGTAGCAGTTTAATTCCAGTTGTGAATCGGAACCACAGTCGTCGGCTCAGTAAACGAGATTTCTTTGTATATATCACTTATTCTTTTAAGTTATCATTTATTAATGAAAATAGAAAAGTCAACACTATTTATTGTTTACAAAAATAAATAATGGCTGCCAGTAGTAATCCCTCTATTGAGAGTTTAGTGAACGAGGCGAGCAAGGTTTATTTGCGGGAATTCAAAAGTTCTCCTACTACAGCCGTTTGCGCTCCTGGAAGGGTTAATTTAATTGGGGAACACACAGATTACAACGACGGATTCGTTTTACCAATGGTTTGTTTCTATAATTATTATTTTATATTTTCGATAAATTTATTTTTTAAATTGTAAAGTCTCTCTACTTATCTTAAAAATTAAACGTAACTTACTATAAATTATTATAGCAAATCTGATAACTTGATAGCATAAGCAAACGTATAACCGTCTTAGTCCAATTATTAAGCACTTAATTAAAAACTGCTACAAGAATCTTTTATCAGTGACACATTGAAATTTATTAAAGTATTAATATTTATTCATTTTTATTTCGGTCCC